TTTGAAACAGAAAATAGTGGTTTTCACTTGCCACTTTTCTTTACTCAAATGAATCAAAATGGATTTATAGCGTTTTGGAACCAAACTCTTCAAATACTGTGCATTCAAAATCTTAATTAAGTCAAATGTATTCGTATCAAGACTAAACTAAAAGTACCCTTTAAGCATCATATACATTTCACTTTATTGTATATATACATGTATTATGATAATTATTGCATTGGTCTATTACAGCTGGTAAAGTTGAAGCTAATTCATCATTTAATAAACCGCTGCTTGATATCCCTACCTATACGTCAATGCTTCTTTATTAGTTGATTTAGGTTTTTTATTATCTAATCATGTTAATCTGTAACTTAAGAAGTTGTAAAAAGCACCATTTGCTTTCAAAATGTAGTAGAGAAGAAGTATACATTTGCATAGAGCAGTAAGAGTGGCACTTAACTTCTTATGTTTATATATAATTTGTATTCTACTTTATCCTTCATTGGACATATTTTCTTATGTTTAAGTGAGATCTAGTTTTTATTTATTGCACATTTTTACTTCTTATGTTTATATAAAGGGGGGCGTGTGGTGCAGTGGGTTGTCTGTTGGTGTTCGGATCAGGGGGTCACAGGTTCAAACCCCACTGCAGTCAGCATGTCGTTGTGTCCCTGAGACACTTCACCCCAAATTGTTGAGTATGTAATTCACTTTGGATAAAAGTGTCTACAAGTGACATGTAATATAATATAAGCATTTCATTTTACAACAACTGACATAAAACCCAATTTCCCCGGGATAAAAGTATTTCTGATCTGATTTCAAAATGTACTTCATAAAATGTCACCACTGGACACAGAGGGTAAGCAGGTCAAAAGGTTGTGACCCCTGACTGAAATGAAACACATTTCTGAGTTCACTCTTTCCACCTGATGGCCCACATGGGAGTGACACCCCGACTCTCTGACCTTTCTGCGGGAACCAGAGGCTGAAACTTCCACTGGTCCTCCTCGGTGTCGAAGTTCAGTCGGCTCATGATCTTATTCTTCTCCTCCGGAGGGATGAAGTTCTCGATGATCAGATACCTGCAGAGGGTTAGTTTGATGAAAAAAAAGGCTTATCGTTAAGTCTGAAGTCCTTCATACTGTCTGCATTTTGCACTTTTACAAACATTACTAAAGAAAAAGGCTCCAATTTAACATTATTTTCATTATTGATTAAAATGAAAATAATTTGGTTTTAAAAAGGTAAGAAAATGTCAATCCAAGTTCAGCTCCAAACTCAAATAAATTCACTTTATGTGGCCATGTATAAGATTTAAATACAACTGTATTAAATCATTAATTATCAAAAGAGTTTCAATATAAATAATAATCTATGTTGGGGAATAATTTGATTAGGTATTCAACCTTTGACACAGTTCATCATTCTCTGTCTCTTTCCCATGGCATAGGTCTACGGCCTTGGGTATTGCTGCTAGCAGCTTGGGCGCATTTTTGTTGCCAGCTTATGACCAAGCCGCCATGAGATAGTTTATTGTTCAGGGACATCTAGAAACCCTTCTTTTTAGGAACGTAGGTTCCCTGGCGCACATTCTTTTCTATGGACGACAGCAGTTAGATTCAGGGTCCATCTTTGTTTAGTCTCGTTGATAAAGAATGTTGATTATTCCACTGAACTAGTTAAAACCTCATACCAGAGAGGAGAACCCTCAGAATTGATTGTGGAATCTCAACCGTGTGACCGTGACATGTCTTGTGAATTCTCCGGCCGAAGCTCCAACTAAACCGTCAGTGTTTGCCATCAAAGCTCCAGCTCTCCTCGTGTCTCTCTTTGAGTCCTGACTCCAAAACACGTTGTATGAGTGTTACGAAAAAACTTTTTGTAAAAACGTAGTGCAAAAGAGACATCTAACAGAACTTCTCGACGTTACTACATCTGTAGATTAACTAATAGGTGGCTTTCCTTTTTTATATATATCTAACAGCCCCTTTGAANGCGCGGATTGCGATTTGTAAAACGTGTTCAGCTGACATTTCTCGAGGGGGTGTAACTGCAAAATTTCAAGTGGTGGAGTAATCCTGAAGTGGTGAAAGTCTTTGCAGTTACACCCCCTCGAGAAATGTCAGCTGAACACGTTTTACAAATCGCAATCCGCGCCTCTTTCTCTGATATTTTTAAATATCTCCAAGCGGCAGACATGTTGGCTGTGAGCCAGCCGCGAGCATGGTCGCGCACCGTGCTTGTCGCCGCGTTTTGATTACGTCATCACAACAACACGTTAGCTTACCAACGTAACCCTGTTCCCTGACATTCGGTGATATTTTTTCGGTGCTAAAACCCTTTCGGCCGAAAGCCGAAAGAGCCTTTTTAACCATTTTCGGCCGGCCGATAATTTTCAGCGGCCGAATATTCGGTGCATCCCTAACAGTAATATTCAATCACTATTATACAGCTTATTACTACCAAACTCACTACACACATCAATAGTATCCTGTGTGTCATACTACAGCAAGGAGTTTGGAAGAATATGCTTTTGAATAATTTTGGGGAATATTTATAATGTAAAATCTTCAATAAATATGGCATCATCTTCAATAACTTTACTATTATACAGTATATTTCAACCAAACTCACTATTTGCATTGTTGTTGTTAGCATATGGTTAGAAGTTGTTTCTAAAACAAGGAGAGGGAGAGCTCTCTCCTGTCAGACTGAGAGAGATAACTACAGCTCAGTGAGGTAAGGGACTCTCTTGTTTAGATAGTTAACTTTAGTCTAGTTATCTCAGTGGGTCTCAAACGGTTTGGTCACCATTTATGAGAAGACATGAAAAACAGTTATGAAATACTATATGACAGTAAAACAAGAATACAGTTTAAAAAGGGAGTGATTTGTAAAATATCCCAAAAGAAAAGTGTGTATGTGCGTATTCTACTGTAGCGCCCGGTACATTAATGGGAAACCCTAGTTTGTACATGTTCAATACATTTGTAGCACTGTAAACATGAACGCTTATTGTTTCGGTTCACCAAAAAAAAAAATCTCACTCCAAGCTGAACTCAAATGTTGGCAGCCCTGCTATACAGAGATGCTGTATGAGAAACCAATGTGAGTTTGGAAAATCGCACAATATAAATGTATTTTAGTAGACAATGGAATTATGATCAGTAGAAATGGCCATGACATGGGACCTTTAAAAGGCATAGGCATTTTTATTGTTTCTCTTTTTTATTCTTTAATTACTTAATTACTTAATTCCTTCTTTTCTTTCCTTCTTTTTTCCTTTCTTTCTTTCTTTCATTTCTTTCTTTCTTTCTTTCTTCTGGTCTTTCTTTCTTTCTATCTGTTACAGTCCGCCCTTCCTCTCTTTATCTCTGTGCCCTTGTTAAGTTGTGTAAATGCCAGCCTGCAGATCAGATTTCCTCAGCTGCTCTCATTAATGTGTTTATTTACCGAGCACTCAGCTCATCCTCTGGTGGCCCTGAATTTGACTTTGAGCTGCTGCCTGTAGTTAGTGTGTGCGGGTGTGTGTGTCGGTATGCATACAGTAGTGCTGTGTGTAAAAATAAAAATCACAGTTACACAGTGCCCGGTCTGTCAGTGTGCGCTCAACCTATTTACTCACTTGAGGTTTCCATCCAAGGTTTATCTGATTTTAAAGTCACTTTTTAATAAAAAGTTGAACAATTCGAATCCACCAGAAACATGGGAGAGAACATTACTAGCATTGATTGCTGTTGGTCATTGTTGCCCATATTTCTTATGAAAGACCAAAACAGGAATGCATTGAGTCAAACAATGCTCATACATTTACAAAACATATAGTAACAAGACCGGGACTACAGATGAAAATGACATTGAATCTAGATTTGAAGAAAACCTAAAATAGTTAATTTTTCATTACATTTTTGAATGCGTTGGAATAGATGGAATCCCAGGTGCTGAGTTTTTCCTGCTGTTTTATGTTTTGTGCAGGATGGTGATGGAGGAGGGGGGGCAGAGAGACAGAGGGAGGGGGACTCCAGTGGCAGAAACAGAGGGGAGACATATCCTCGTAGAGCTTGGTGAGTAACCCTTGACCCCCCAATGTAAGCTTAACATGGCCTTTGCACGGCACCCAGGATGTTCTTCTTTCATTCATTTAATTTCCTTTCCTTTATTGTTCTGGTTCCAAAATGCCTTCACGTGTATAACTCCATATCCATAACTTCCTATCTAGCATGCTGAAGATCGATGTTCATTCTGAGTGGTTATCTTTTGAGATGGATGACATGTCCCCCTCTTACCCAGCAGAGTTTGTAAACATCGTGTTCTTTTGTCACAGGGGAGCAGAACTTGGATGCCATCGTTCTCTCTACATATCGAACATCCTGTAAGATCAGATTCATTCAGAAGAGATGCAACTGTAAGTCCTGCCAGGTCTGCTTCTGCAGGGGAACATTAGTTGATGTTGAATTGTATCTGTTGCTGTTTTTGTGTTTTTTTTTGCACTTGTTTTATACTTCAAATTGCCAATACAGAGATGTTAATGTCAAACAACTTTGATATAAAGCAGCTTGTCTGTGTGAGATATTAAATTGAGTTACTTTCTGTTGACTTGGCAGAATAAAGGAAAAACATCAGCCGTCACAACAACTGTGTCGTTTTAATATGTTGAAATACACTCAAGTCACTATGTGTGAATATTTGACTGACTGTTTTCGTCTCATTCCAGTGCATCTGATCGACATTTACAATGTGATAGAGGCGGTGCGGGACGCCGGTCTGAACGCGGTGGAGCTGAACGCTGGTATCTCGGTGACCCGACTGGAGAACTTGGTGTTCTCGCTGTTCAACCAGCTCAGCAAGCGCCTGCCCACCACTCACAACATCAACCAGAGAGAGAGCGCCGTCCTGTTAGTCGAGTTCCTACTGGCCGCCATTGACAGGTCAATACACGGAAATGTGTGGATGTTGAAGAAAGAAATGTGATCCTTTTAAACATGTGAAAGTGAAGGTCACATATGCTATACTAATACTTGTATTTGTGTTTGTTTCAGTGAGCCTGACAGCCGCCTGACGGTGCTCTCTGTGAAGGCGATGCTGGCCATACTGTGTGGCGGGAAACTGATTGATAAACTCCGCTGTGAGTACCTGTTGATACCGTTTTACTATAAAAACAGATTATCTCAATGCATCCAGAACTTGTTGATAAATTGTAACATTATCAGAGTGAAAATGTTACAATCCATTAAATCATACTTATATCAGATCTATCATTTTACATTTATGAGAAAAAAACGTGAGAAAGAAATATTGTTTTGGAAAATACATTGGAAAACATGTCTATGCTGCTGTTTGCTGTATGTTAAAATAGAATTATGCTACCATTTAGTTTGGTTATGGTTATGGTTGGGATGAATAGTCAGTAAATTATGTATAATGTATTTGTTGTGCTTGTAGATGTGTTTTCTCAGGTATCGGACTCCAATGGCGTGTTGGTTTTGTCCAAGTTTGATTCTTTTCTGAGGGAGGCTCTCAAGCTGCCCACCGCTGCACATGAAGGACCGTCCTTTGGCTACACACACACCTTGGCACGCTCATGCTTCCCGCAACAGGTCCGCTCACACACCTCCTCCACTTCTATTATGAGGAATTATTTCATAGTTTACAGTTCACTTTATTTTCTTTTTCTTAGATGTTACCTCTAATACAGCTATTAAAATGTTGACGGTGTTTTTGCAACAACCCATTTCCTCTGCACAGTGCTAAAAACATGTATCAGATCTAATGATAGTGAAGTTTTCTTTTTTTTAGTCACTTATTTCCTGTCCCTGAATTTCTAAATGTTGTTTCTGTAGAAGAGGGTGATGCTCAACATGTTCCTGGACATCGTGAATGACCCTCCTCCGTGTCTTGTCTGGCTGCCTCTCTTGCACCGCATGGCCAACGTGGAGCATGGTACACACACACACACACACACACACACACACACACACACACACACACACACACACACACACACACACACACACACACACACACACACACACACACACTCTCACACACACACACACACACACACACACACACACACTACACACTAACACACAACACTCTCTCTCTCTCTCTCACACACACACACACACACACACACACACACACACACACACACACACTCTCTCTCTCTCTC